CGGGCGAGGGGTCCCTGGGTAACCAGTCGCCCCGCCCCAGAGGTGGCCGCATCTCAGCGCCGGGCGAGGGGTTCCTGGGTAACCAGTCGCCCCGCCCCAGAGCTGGCCGCATCTCAGTGCCGGGCGAGGGGTCCCTGCATCACCAGCTGCCCCGCCCCAGCCCCACCTCAGAATCTCGTCCTCCAGCTCCTTCAGCTTGCTCTTGCCGGCCGCGATGTTGAGCACGAGCGAGTCCTTCTGCTCCTCCAGCTCGGGCCGCTCCTTCCGCACCACGGTGCCCAGCAGCTGGGCCTCCAAGCCCTGCCAAGATGAGGGGTGTCAGGCCTGCCCGGGCTGCTGCAGGCTGGGGGTCCCCCCAGAGCAAGCCAGTCCCCATGTGCCCCCCATCTCCAGTCACCCCCCCAGCCCTGGAGGTTTCAGCCCCCCGGCAGTGACCCCTTATCCCCCAGGAACCGGCCCCGCCCCACCTGCTCCTTGACGGCGAAGTTGACGATGGTGGTCTGGGAGGAGGTCTCCGGGGTGTAGTGGGGGTTTGACAGCTTGGTGGTGAGGTAGAAGCGGAAGTCGGGGCTGTACTCCACCTCCTTGTCCGCCAGCCGCAGCAACAGGCGCCCGCCTGGCACACACACGGGGGCAGTCAGGGCCCCCCGAACGCAGCCGGGCCCTGCCTGGGGATGTGAGCAGGTGCCCCAGGCCAGCCCCCACTCCCCTCCCAGAGCCGGGGAGAGAACCCAGGAGTCCTGGCTCCCAGCCCCACCCTGCTCTAACCCACCAGCCCCCACTCCCCTCCCAGAGCCGGGGAGAGAACCCAGGAGTCCCGGCTCCCAGCTCCCCCTGCTCTAACCCACCAGCCCCCACTCCCCTCCCAGAGCCAGGGAGAGAACCCAGGAGTCCTGGCTCCCAGCCCCTCCTGCTCTAACCCACCAGCCCCCACTCCCCTCCCAGAGCCGGGGAGAGAACCCAGGAGCCCTGGCTCCCAGCCCCCCAGCTCTAACCCACTAGCCCCCACTCCCCTCCCAGAGCCGGGGAGAGAACCGAGGAGTCCCGGCTCCCAGCCCCCGCCCCCCCCAGCGGAGGCCCGGGTGCCTGGCCTCACCAATTCTGGTGACGGACTTGTTGAGGATGGGGGCGAGCGAGGGGTCCAGCTCCTCCTGCACGTTCTGGAGCAGCACGGGCGAGCCGAACTGCACGGCGCCTTCCAGCACCCGCAGATAGTCGCCCATCTGCAGGTCGATGATCTTCAGGCCCTGCAGGGGGCGCCAGCGCCGGGGTGAGCAGTCAGCCCCCCACTCCCGGACCCTCTGCCCCCCCCAGCCCTCGCCAGCTGCCAGCCCCCGGGGGCACGGGATGGACAGGAGCCGGGAGGAGAGTGCAGAGGGCACACAGCAGGGTGGGGCCTAGTGGGGGCAGTGGCTCCGGTCAGCTCCGCCCACCGGGTGAGGGGACCCCAGGCACCGCCTCCTGCTGCTCACCTTGGCAGCTTCCATGTTCTTGATCCACTTGGAGGCCTGGCACTGCGGGTCGATCATCAGTGGCCACCTGGCAACGGGGACAGGGGCAGATCAATGGGGCTCAGAGCCGGGCCGCCTCCTGCTGGGATCTCAGCGCCAGCCAGCACCCAGCGTTCGCCCCCCGTCCCGGCCTCACCCGCCCCTCTGCCCCCCAGCGCGGCTGGGAAACAGCTGCCATGCCCCACCCGGGGCAAGGGGTCCCTGGGTAACCAGCCGCCCCGCCCCAGAGGTGGCTGCATTTCAGTGCCGGGTGAGGGGTCCCCGGGTAACCAGCTGCCCCGCCCCAGAGGTGGCTGCATTTCAGCGCCGGGCGAGGGGTGCTGGGCGAGGGGTCCCTGCCCGGGGCAGTGCCTCGGGCGGGGCTGGGGGCAGCGCTGTGGACGGGGACAGGGCATGGGGCAGTGCGTCGGGCGGGGGCAGGGGCAGCACGGTGGATGGGGACAGAGCCGAGGGCAGTGCAGTGGACGGGACAGGGCCGGGGGCAGCACGGTGGACGGGGTCGGGGCCGGGGGCAGTGCGTCAGGCAGGGCTGGGGGCAGCGCGGTGGACGGGGACAGTGTAGGACTCATGAATGAAATTGTTTTTAATTGTTTACTTTATTAATGTAACTTCATAAGTAAAGTTTTATGAATGAAACAATATTCATTCATAAAACCGGTTACCCCAATAACTGGCTAATTAACAGTTAAGAGGCTTGTTAAGAGCCATAGCTGTTCAGTCAGCTGCCTTTGGGTATGTCTACACTACAGGATTAATCCGAATTTAGATAATTCGAATTTGGGAA